ATCAACCGTACATGTGTATCATCAACAGGACAGGCGTATCATCAACTGTAGTACCGGTGTATCAGCAACAGTAGTACAGGTGTAGCATCATCAACAGTACAGGTGTATCATCATCAACAGTAGTACAGGTGTATCATCATTACAGGGTGTTGCTGGAAGTCTTGGTAGATAGCTGTAAAATAAATTATGATTATATTGTGCACAGTTGATGTTAACTGGGTCTCACATACACAGTAACCATCTTGAGAGCAACTTAGTGCATGAGAGGCTACGTGATAGAGGCTGACAGTAGTGTGTGTATGTCTAGTGTTATTGTATAGACAGAATCCATACTGCACACGTTTTCTGTGCTTAGCTTCTTTATTAATACAGACATCAGTGTGCATCAAGTTATCCTGCAATTCACTTCCTAATGTGTGTCTCGTTTACCCATTACATGATTTTATCATTTCTAATACACTTGTTTACCGGCCCTGTTCAGTTATATATGTATTACCATATATTCTGTGTAATATACTGTACACTATTCTTGCACCTGGTCTGATATATTCACGTGTCTAACCCCAAATAATATAGTATACTGCATCTGGCGAGTTATATCCTTGTATATACCCCTGTATACTGAATCTGGTGAGCTATGCCCTCTGTGTGTTGTATTGCATCTGCCTCGTGCATTCATTTCAGAATTCCCAGGCGTTGGTCAAAGATATTCTTAGCAGTGTTGTTTTGCCAAGAAACTCAGTAATGTACGACCCCATGTACGCCGGGACTTACTCCCACTAAGGTTCCATAGGTGAAGCTCTCTCAGAGGTGTTAAAGGTGGTAGCCTACAGGTAGTGGTAATAGTAGTAGCATTAACCTTCAAGTAGTAGTGATAGTAACTAGTCCACACACTCACTGCCTGGTACAAGGATATCCTTCCTACACAAACTTGCTGTCTCATTCCTCCTTCCATGTACTGTACTGTGTTTACTGTTACTGTATGTTTTGCGCTTTTAATGTATTGTGTACTATTTCTCATGTATGTTGTTTCATGCTCAAAACAGCGTATTTTCTTACTCGGGATTTTTCATTGAAGTGATCAGTGTTGAGACATAGTCACTGTTTAGTTATGTATCGTCCTCACCTGTCGATATCCACCCAGTTGCTTCCAGGATGTATTAACAATATCGATGGTACCAAAAGGTTATCTGATTAGTGCGGTCTATGTGTATACAGCAAGTTAACGAGTTGCAAGACCTAGTGTCAAGGAACAGTCTGATTAGACTGGACAACTCGCCAACTGCAGTGGTTAACCATTACCCCCGGAACATGATTTGCAATTATTGCTGGGTAGACAGAGGCAAATGGCTTAAAGAAACAGGCCCATAGTTTCACCCTCGTGCTGACCATCACTCCAGAGGTCGCCATAATAATAATAACAGGTGGATGATGGCAATCTTGGAATGTACACAAGGAATATCCAAAGATGGATGTATGTTAGAGTGTAGTTATGGCGGAAGCTTATCATTTGCGATTTTTGGCCATCTTAAGACTATAAAAGACTTGGTAATTCCCTTTACCATTTATTCTGGAAGAACCAGGGCCGGAAATATGTCCTCTGGTGGAGTGTTCATCAGACTAATACTCCAAGATTACGGGGTTTGAGCTTCAAGTTGTGGAAGGATCCAAAAGTAGGGCTCAGAACAGTCCTTTTTAGGGCAATAGTGGAGGAAGCTTATCATTTGGGGATTTGCCAGCTTGAAATTTAAAGGTCAGGTGGTCCAGCTTAAAGGGGAGGGTCCACAACAGAAATGCTCTGAGGCAGGGAGCTGTAGACCAGTCAGATGCTGCTTCTGTGTCATCTCTTCCTCTTAAAGATGCTGCTAGTGTGTCTGTAGGGTGATGGTGAGATACAGGGGGGTGATAATGAAGGAAAGGAGGGGATGTAGGGTGATATTTTGAAACAGGAAGAGTTGATAGTGAAAGGGTATAGCAAGGTAAGGTAAAAAATTATTTGCAATTTCGTATCCTGAAGAAGACTTGGCTGTCAGGGGCAGAAAGGTGTGTACTGGTACGTTTGTAGATGTGGACAGGAAGGATGATGTAATTAGACTGGAAGCAGGATGATATTAGATAGGAAGAAGGAATTAATTTGGAAAGAAGGAAGGGGAGCATATGATTGGTAGAGAGCAAAATTGGAAAGGTGAAGATCAGGAAGGTGCTGCCTCCCCTCACCTTTGTATTGATCCCTCCATCAATGAAAATTTACAAGCGTTGGAGGCAGGCAGGTCTTCCCTATCTTCCCTAGCCAAGTTCATTATCCCCTTCTCTCCATCTAGAACCACCCTCTAGTCTGAGTTGGTCCCCAAGTAAAGCTGTCAGGTCCACCCATCTTCTGGTACCCCTATCCTCATGAGCCAAGTCTCCAGGTAATTGTCAGGTCCCAAGTCACATGGTTCAGACCTCCTTTGTGGTTGTTTACAGTACAGGTGCTCCTCTACTTAAGGACGCTCAACTTACAAACTTTCAGAGATACAAAAATCATCACTGAGGGGGGTTACCTGCCAGAACAGGTGTTTAATGTGGATGAGACTGGATTATTTTGAAGAAAATTCCAGATAGAACAAGCATTACCTAAGAGGAGAAGAATGAGCCAGGTTTTATGGCTATATTAAAGGGTATAGCTGTACTAAATACCCATAATCTTTTCATTTTGTACAATATGTTTGGTATCTACAAACAGTTGGACTTACAAACCAGCCTCGGGAACGTAACTTGTTCGTAAGTAGAGGAGCACCTGTAGTTGTATAATTGTGAAAGTTTGATTCACTTTCAAATTAATAATTTTAAGCCTTTTTCCATGTCATCTTAATTTTTATAATTAATCTCCACCTTTTCCCGCAATTAAATTACCGCTGCTCAACTCCTGGGATCAATCATCTTATGGAATTTTAAGAAGTAGTTGTGGCAGGCCTGAGCAGTAAGCAAGAAGCCATACACCACTTTCATTGTGTTTAGGGGCTTATGAAAATATGATTTACTATAACTTAGCACTTCTCTTTGGGGTATGGTGACTAAATGGATACAGCATTCGCCTTCTGTCGTAAGGGTCACTAATCCAACCCAGGACATCCCCAGTCCTCACAGTCATAAATGGATACCTAACTTTAGAACTGGAGAAGTAAAGACAGTATAGAGTGTAGTGTTTGCCATATTGCCTGCTTGTGTGATGAAAGCTTAGTACACCATCCAATGTATTTATTCACACTACAGTATACCTAATGGGCCATCAGGCCTATAGGACCCCTCTTATATACTGTATACTTTTACCCTCTTCTGTAATTCTCTGTGAGAGGGAAAGAAAAGGGAGTGTACAGAAATATTTTTGTTCCGTAAGTTTATACACAAATATAATACCAGTATGATTTCTGTTTGAGAATGATATACTCATACAGTACTGTACTATACTCTCTAACTGACGGCACTTTATGTTTGATACATCCGGGAGCAGGTACTGTACCGTACTTGTGCAAATAACATAAAATTAGATGTACTGTATACACAGGTACTGCTCGACTTACGACCTACTCTACGTACAACCACCCGGACATAGGACCGCCGCAGTCGCAGAAAATATTTTTAAAATTATGTATTTTCGAGTCCCGGCGTTAGTGATCGCACTGTGTACTGACAAAAAAAAATTTTTGTAATTCCCTTTAAAATGGCTGGCAAGCGTAAAAGTGAGGGTTCTCGTGGTGTTGAGAAGAAAAAGAGACACCCATTTTAGATTTTCTATGTATTATTTTCGCATTTTCAACTTACGACCAATTCGATTTACGACCTAGTCGTCGGTCCCTAACCCCGTCCTAAGTCGAGGACTGACCGTATATGAATACCTGTAGTTACTGAACTTTGACATCTGCAAACTGTGTACAACTAGTTAAAGGATTAATGGATTACCAACTGCTGCCTCCTGTATGATACACAAATGAGTTTAACCCAATCTTATCAAACCTAACATAACCCAAATTCACTTAACCCCAACTAACTTAATCCAAATTAACTTAACCTAACCCAACCTACCGGTATCCCAATCTGTGTTATATCCACACTGTCTTTAATGGGCCATCAGGCTTATAGGACCCTGTTATAGCTTCCATTTACCTGTTGGATTCACTGATGATATAGTCTGTTGAGTCAGGATTAGAGGTGTACTGGAAGTAACATTCATAAATGTTTATGTGTTAAGTTTTCAAACCCAAATGGACATTTCTCCATTTATTAAGAAAATAAACTATTGCACAATATCTGGGATATCACCGTAATTAATGCTATGAGCTGTGGGCATTAATAAGGGACGAAGCTTACTTATAACTAGCTTCTTAGAACACACATCTTGAGTGAATCAGAGATGGGAGTCAGACTGGTGTGAGGCTTGCTACTTAATTGATGACTGCAGTCAAGGTGTACAGTAAGCGCTCAGTGGAAATACACTTTCACATGTCCGGTTGATGATTGCTCATGGCTCATAGGCTATTTACCGTGGGTGATGTAATTATATAAATCTTATATGTAACCCACATTTATATAAGTATTACTGCCTGTTTGACAGGGGCTAATACAATCCCACTTATAGTTTAGCCACACTGTTATTTTCTGAGAGAGTACCAGTTGAATCATTTTTTCCAAAATAAAGTTATCTGAGATGGTAGTTTGAATCACACTGTGGAAAATTGATTAGCTGTAAGTAATGTCTTTTTCCCCTTTTTAAGAAGCTTACAATTTTAGCTTTCATCTTCAACTTGGTATGTGTATGAATTATTACATGTGCTGTATTTGTATTAAAATGTACAAAAATGTACAGTGTATTTCAAGTTTCTGTACTGTTGTTTCATTATTTTGTATTCCTTTATTCCCCCTAAGTACAGTCTTTTAAGATTTAGATTTATTGTACAGTACGTATTATGTATTATTCATCCATTTCTTGTTCTGTATTGTAATGTGTTTTTATTTTACAGTACGGACAGTGGACGTGATAACCCATTCCGGCCTGATGGCGATATCTCTCGTGAAGCTGATGAGATCGTGCAGCTAATTAAGTCTGGCCGGCCACTTCAGGCTGGCCAACGTCCAGGAGATGTGTCAGATTCTATAGATGGCACCCCAGCCTCCCCGACTGAAAATGAAGCTGCTGCAGAACCCCTCGTTACAGCAAAAGATGCCTCACCGCAGCAGCAGCAGCCACCACCACAGCCAATACCAGCAGCAGTGCCATCAAAACCAGTGACAGACAACACTCCATCATCCCCGGGGAAGGCAGGTGCTAACGGTTCAGCAGCACCTGAAAACTCTGCGGCAGGCACTGTTGAGGTCACACATGCCACAGTCACCCCCACAGACGCTGCCCATGTTGAACATGTTGTCATTAAGAAGAAAAGCAAATGTAATTGCTGCGTGATCCAATAGTGGGTATGGGCGTGTTTACTGTGAGTGGGCGTGAATAGGGTGATGGCGAAAGGACTGATCGCCCCGGCAGTAAGACTAGGACACGTACCGGCGTAATCCTGGGGTTAGAAGGGCGCAAGTGCGGTGTTGCTTGACTTAACATGTGCTTTGTCTTTTCTGCTGTGTGCACAATCCACCATGACTCTTATTAAAGTGTTCCAAAGACTGATGAAAATATATTTTATGTATCTTAATAATTTCATATATAGTTTTTTGCTAGGTGAAAAAAAAAGGTTATTTCTCTCTGCTTAGATCGCCTTCATTTTGATCACTGAAACACACACTACATTACTAGTTGGCCAGATTATAATTATTTCTTTGCTCATACGAGTGCCTGCTCCACCAGCTGGCATAAGTAACTCGTATAATGTGGGGAGCTTACCAGGTGCTCACAAAGCGCTTGAAGCCCCTTATGGTGTCTAGGGCCTTACCAGATACTCATTAAGTATCTAGAGAATGACTAGGCATTCACATGGAGCTTGTGGATAGCCAGTGGTATCCACCAAGCAATCATGGGGTGTAGTGCCTTGGCCTCTAGGCACTAATCCAGTGTCCTGGGATGTGCCGGCACTCACACAGTGTTTAGAACCAACAATACACTTGCTTCAGTGGCTCTGGGATAGAAGGCACCCATATAGTGTTTTAAGGCTGTTAAACACTGAAGCAGTGTCTTGGACATGCCAAGCACTTACCAAGTGTCTGGACGTAGTGTGAAGGGTGATGGAAGAGGCTTCTCCAGGGAGGGAATCCCTGGTAGAAGAAATAAACTCCTTCTATAGAAGGATTAATTCTTTAGTCTCCTCAATTAAACGAACTGATCAAATTTTTATGTGAATGTAAATATTCTCTCATTGCTGAAGTGGATAATCGATAGTGTTAAAAATTTTTAGAAAACTGTACTGGGAAGGGATACTGCTTGAGGTTGTAGAATTTTATATATCATGTCTGGAGAGGCTATAAGTTGGTAACTGTGGGTTCCTATATGATGATGGGGTATAATCCTCACTGTTGTACGATTTGAATATAAAGGTTGTGCTACTTGAGCCTGCAAAAATACAGTAATGAAGTAATGAGGAGTGTGGTGTGGCTAAGGTAGGTAGGGACAGCCATGGTGCTAGAGCCACATCCTCACAGCTGCTTCACCACCAGCAATGTCACCCTTCAGCAAAGACAAGATATGAGCACACAGTAGGCCAGTTGAATGATCGCTTTTATGAATGAGTGGTTAGGTGACCATAACTTCATCGAATGATGACCTAAACACAATGGTGTAGGTGATGAATTAATAAAGGTTGGATGGACTTTATATTAAAACCACTTGTAACATTGTGTGTGTTAATATCAGATGAATACTCTGAACAGGAGAGGACACTGTGGTGCTCTCCATTGTATTTCCATACTAGACTAAGGAAGTTAGCCTTACATAGTAAGATCCAAATTCTTTTCAAAACTTGTATGTTTGGCAGACATTTTTAGTGGAGAATGTAAAAATTTCATCAGTGATGGTAAGTGTATTTGGAAAGACAGGATAACTTGATGGATATGATAGTATGTGCATGTCAGAGCTGATAGGTATTGTGTTCCAGATATTAAAGGTGTACAGCCTCAGAACTTGTACACAGTTAAAATCTTGTCTTTTTTGTGGTGTAAGAACCCCTGGCCTGTATGATGAATGTGAGTTATTTCATGCTTGTGATATGGTTACCGTATATTTTTGAGTTTGGATTTGTTTAGACATGAAATTAAAGAAATGTTATATATTGATCTCCATGATTATCAATTATCATTTTATTTGTAATTGCAGACTTATATATTTCAACATGATATTGCCGTATGGTAACAAGTGATGGCACTGTATAAAGATTGCTATTACCTGGTAAGAAGATATCTTCCACTCTGTTATTGCTCCTGTTGTATTTTATCAACTCAATTTATTCATGCTAAAAATATTGGTAAAAGTGACCCATGGTTTTTGGTCTTGCAGTCAACAGATAGCTCAGAGTATGATTATAAAAATAGTATTTTTTTCACACTTTGACGGCAATATTTCTTTCACGGACTGATGTATTATTTGATGTATTTATTTATTTTTTTAGTCCATAATTGCAATGCATATATACCATATATTTTGTACTGCTACTTAGTGAAATAGATCAGTTTGGAAGTTAATTTAAACACTGACAAGCAAAAGACAGCTACTGTATCTCGGTCACTCATGGTCTTCTAACACAACAAAATTGTACACACAAGTTTAGTGATGTTACTGTACCCAACAGCTCCCAACTACTTACATAGACAGTACACTGTATTAGTATTTCATTTCGTGATATCTCTACAGTACCAAGTGAACTCTACAATTGGTATATGCACATATGTACAGTACTACTGTATATTAATTTTTTTTTTAGAATTTTTTGCGTTCAGTTGACTCATCATTTTTTATCCAATTCAGAATTTTTAAGTATTTTAATGTACTGTATATTTGAAATTAGGTCTTGGGATATAATAAACAACACAATGAAATGTTGTTGTCATTAATACATTGTAGTGGCACCATGTGAAGTTAGGCTGTTATACAGTATATTATTCCTGTTTTATTTATTTATGTTTTTTAACTGGACCATGTTTCTGAAAGTAGTTACAGGCTAAGAAAGAAAGAGAATGATGTGTACATAGTTTACTGATAGAGGTTCATATGTAAATTTTACATAAATTCATCATTGTAAAAAGCATATAGAAGTAAAGCACTTAGTTTCCTTTGTTAGATACATTCATTATAATATAATTGGATGATTCTTCTCAGATTTAAAACCCTGAGGAAGTTATTGGATGAGATGGAAGAGCCTGAGGTTTATCAGCTCACAAATTGTTAAAGATAATGAATGATAACTTGCTGCCTTCATGAGGGACTCAAGCTGCATGGTGAATTTGTATGAAGATTAGGTCTAATATAATTACAATGTAGAACTGTATGTTTAAACACTCCTGTCTTACTGTGAGAGCTTATCTTGTGTTCCTGATAAATCTCTCCACCAAAGACACAGGTGTTAATTGTAGACTTACTTAGGTATCTTCAGAACACTGACTCAAAGAAATTTACTATAACTGCTAAGAAGAAAAAACTCGGTACCCAATGAGTTGCGAATACTTAAAAAAAAACCACAAATCAATCTGCACACACATTCAATTCTGTTTTTATGAAGTGAAACTGTCAGATACATATAATGAGTACATTACTCTTTTCTTCATTTCATTGTTTATGTACAAGATCTTGTGCATCACGATATTGTATAATATTAATATTATGCAGAACTAATGACTGCCATACATCAAAACATCTCTTGTTATTGAAAGAGGTTATGTAGACAGTAATCTACATAAAACTATCTCTCTATGTCACATACAAATACAGATAGGAAGGAGTCTTTGCACACCTTATACTTGTGGCTTTATTGTATATTGCCAGGAATTATAGATATCAAATGGCCAAGTACATATGGACGTTCCAGTCAAGCTATGTGTTCTCAATCTCAGCCCTATAACTTTGAAGGTGCCCAAGGTATAGCATTTTATGGACTGCTACACCTGGAACATCCTTATGCACGGTGATACATCCTGTTAGAAGCTTCTCCATAGTAATCTACTGAATTTTCTCTGGCCTGTCTGCTTGTGAGTCACAAGTGGGAGAAAATATGTTGGTCTTAAAAGGACAGTAAGTGAAATTACCGATGATGTTGGAAGACAAACAAGTACGGCATGGGCCTGCATGTAATTATAAAGTCACATGGTAACATTATAGTCAACACTAAGACTATCAGGGGAATAATGCTTAGAGGGTGAATGATAACTACAGTTACTAAACAGGGAATCAATATTATATTATGCGATGGGGAGGCTACAAGTCGACAGGTCAAAATCAGTCATACCACCCGCATATGGCATTTTGTCGATCATTCATTAAGGTAGAGGTAATTACATGTATTTGTACCAAAATCATTGTGAAATATATAAATAATTGCATAAATAAAGTGTTTGTTTTCCAGAGTGAGAGTTTCAGTATTTTTCCGTTTTATTACAGAATAACTACATCTACTGGACCATATCCTGTGTTCTGTAAATAGTGTATGGACCTGTATTTAGTTTTTTTATAAAATTCAAGCAGTTACCCTGAATGTAGCAGCAGTAGCTTGGTTATACAGTACATATTTTTAAGTGTACTAAAAAACAAGGATTAAAGTTCAGTAAAAACTTGCATATTGTGAGTGAGGTTGGAGGGGCTATTTGACTAGTTACAATATAACATTGTTCACCTTTAAGACTCAATCTATGATAAATATATGACCATATAGTATGACATTTACTCCAGTGAGTTAACCCATAATAGATTTAACCACCAAAACCTGTTTTCATCTTAGTCTAGGATATTTGTTTGTTTGTTATGAAGACAACATATCCTTTCCTGTGTGGTACTTGCTGATAAAGTCCCCTAACCTTAGGACCAATGATAACACCACCTATCTAGGCTTCATGTGTGGGTTGGTACAGCACTTATCTTTTCTCCTTGGTGCTAAGTGGGAATTATACTTGCCACCATTCTCATCCTCCCTGCATCTAACTGGTTTCAGATACATGCTTAGTTTAAGCATGAGGGTAAGTACACAAAAAAAAGCAGGTTACCCGCTTGCCGGTTTCTAGCACCTACCATCACCAGCAGTCGGCACTGGTAAGCGGACACAGAAGACGCAGGTTTATCTGCGAGTTGTGGTTCAGCTTTTGTACAGTAAAGAAGTCTAACTTCATCTGACGAAGATTTTCTTTTGCTTGATAGTGCTTATGCAAAAATCAGGAGGAAAAGAACTGGAATACTTGAAATCAATCGATTGCAGTAGAGAAAATTATGGTGAATATCACCATCTTTTTAGTGAGTTACAGGAGGACCCCAAGAAAGTTTTTTCAATACTGCAGGTCTCAAACACACAGGCACTCAAAACCTCTACTTCCACCATGACGGTCTGGTCAAGCATGGCGACCACAGCTCGTCTTTTATCTAGGAAAACAGTCTAACTTTAGTGACTAGTAATTCTCTGTTTTCAAGTCACTTAGTGAATGATGTTTGTTTTTCACCTTTCCGGGCCCGTCTTCACTGAAAAAAAAAATATACAGGGTATATATATATATATATATATATTTTTTTTTTTGCCCCAATTATTAATGTGCAAGTGTTGAAATAAGTACCATGGTAAATGTGGCCATCCCTCTCCCTCTTCTCATGTTCGTTCACGAAACTTTTCGGGCTTTCGCCCTGGGTTTTATGATTACTGGGTACTCTCAGCATGCAGGCCAGAGTTAAGTATTTTTCTTCATAACTATATTTTATTCATGCCCTCAGTAGCGGGTTCATCCTTTCCAGGCGAACTTTAGTGAGGCTGCTAGTCTTAGTGATCCTTCCAGACGCTGACTAGCAATCTAGAGTTATATTGGGATGAACTTTGTATTATCAGTATGGGTTAAATGAGAACCATTCAGGTGGTGGAATTCTCAGCCCAATACATCTTGCTAGAGTAATGGTGAACGATGTTAACCAATGGAGCTCTATGGTAGCACCTCAGCACTGTCAACCTTCTGGGTGACTTGATGCTTACTCAGGCATCATCACTCAAGCATGATTAGTTGAAGCGGTGATGTCTGTGTAACCTGCTTGGCAACAAATAGAGAACTGGGTGATCCCTCAAAATATGAGTGCTCTGAAATGAAGTTAGCTTGATTAAGAAAGAGAGTTCAATGTGCTGAGGGACATTTGAGATAAGAGAAGGGAGAGGTGTATGATATAGGGAGTTATTTGTTTACGACTGTCTCACTGGTGACTCATAGAACAATATGAGATATTAAATTAAATAATTTACTAAAATATCACAGTTATGAGTCATACTGATTATGTTTGGGAGAAAATGTAATCTCCCTTGTATTATTATGATGGTACAACGTGACTCATGGTGTTCCTCCTAGTTTAGATGAGTGATATGCAACAGGAGGATGAAAGACAGTTGTCTGGGCTGCTAGATGACGGAGGAAACCATGGAACTGTCCCTGGGGAGCTAGTGTTGAGTGAGGAGCTACAAGGACTGGATATCTTGGCTCATATACTACATACATTAGAGGATGTGAATTCAGTAGTAGTAGTTTTACATATGACCTAAGGGGACCATACTACATCTAATTATCAAGGATGTAGGGCCACTTGGATTAACAAGTTAGATCCTCATTTGGTTTGCATAAATCATCGCAACTGTGTTTCAGACAACCTGTTTTCACCATTGGATTGTGCAGTTTGTTATGATCAAAATTTTAAAGAGCCAAAATTTCTAAATGTAAAACACTGGAAAGATCCCAAGTTGGCAGAAAGTTTAGACTTATGGGTGATAGGTAAGAGACTTAATCCCCAGTTAGACCAACCTTCTTCTGCTAAGAAAAGTAGGTTATTGGACATCCAGGATAATGAGGCAGTAGGAAGGTTGCAAGAACCTCTACCTAGTCAGCCTGATTTTAGTGGATTCCAGGATCAGGATGAGGAAGTGGGCACTAATCATAGTGTTCAGTCACTGGAGCAGGGAGAGTCTTGTCTGAGTGAACTTAATTAACATCTTATTCACTCCCTGTGTTAATAAATATTAAATTAGTAAATTACGAGTATCACCACTCTATTCCTTTCACACATTGGTTCTCAGAAAATAATATTAGTAACTCACGTGCCTAAACTCGCTAACAAGCTACCTAACCATTCCTTGAGATATGTTATATTCTAATAAAAGTCTGGGTGGTGGCAGGCTACAGTTGTAAGTATAATAAGTGTTGTACTATGAATGACATAGTTCCCCAGACTAATCCATGGTTTAGAATATAATAAAACAGAGTATACTTCAGCAAAGTAAGGACATTGAAATTCAGAAAATAGAATATATATGAAAAGAAAAGAACAGTGATTTGGAAAATATAAGCATAGAAATATAAGAGTTACTTCTGTAAGAACATAAGCAAGAATATAATAGTACTGAAGAATAATAACATAAAAGGACTAAGTCTGAAATAATATGAAGTAAGGAAATTGCGCTCTTACAGGAGAAACTGTTCCACCTGGGGCAAAAGTGTTAGTTACTATGAGTGGAACCAGGCTGCTGTCGACTCCCATGCAGCTGATGGAGAACATTGAGTGTGAGGATGATCCAAACAGGCCATGGGTAACATTGGTAAGATATAAGTCTTCTTTGTTTTCAACTGCATCCGAGCCTGTGGATTCTTTTCAAGGTATTTTATGAAAATGTTTCCAAACTTCCTGATCTCCCAGCACTTACAAAGAAAGTGACACCAAATACCGGTCGAGAAGTGATTGGCAGTCCGATTTATTCATGTAGGACCATTATTTGACTTCATTGCGGCTACATTTGGGTAATTAGTCGGACCTTGCTTTGTGGGCTATTGAGCGTAATATGAATCGTCTGATTTTGGTGTTAACTGACGTGTATGACCGTGGCCATTACACCAGGGCTATATTGTAAAGATTTTTACGGATATATTTATCGGTATCAGTTACGGTACACATTGGCTTATGAAAATTAGTACTATGGGTTTACAGTAATTGTTAAGGTTAACCCCTATAATTTAATCAGTTTTTAAACATGAAATGCATCAATTAAATTAGTCACAAATACTCATATTGGCATACTCATTTCTTGTGAAGTCAATATTTAAGTCATCTTGAATGAATTACTCATAGCCATTAAACTTCTTGCCTTTATCCTCTTCACCACTGATCGGTTCGTTAGCCGATTGGGCGATCGGTTACGTCTCTGTTACGCACTGTTGGCAAGTACTGGGCATGCACCGGCTCCTGAATGTACCTGAACCCGTTCCAGTGTTGGTGCCGTCACAACACTCTCTGGTAGATTGTTCCAAGAGTTCACAACTCTCACTCCGAAAAAGTTTGCCCTCGCAGTTTTCTGGACTTGCGGCTTCTTCAATCTTGAGCTGTGACCTCTTGTGGGGCGAGCGTCAGCCATCTCCAAGGAAGGACACTCGACTGAGTAGTGCCCCTTGAGATGCTTATACACCTCAATTAGGTCACTCCTTGCCCGTCTGTAGTATAAGCTTTAATTGTTGCTGCTTCTGGTTGTCATGAGTATGCTTATATTTTTCATGTACAGTTGCCCCAGGATCTATGCTCTTGTGTACAATAATAATTAATGTACAAGAAATAAATTTAAAGGAAATTTTTGAATCAGAAATATATTGTGGGTTTCGCTAAATATTTATTTTATATCATAGTTTACCATTAAAAGATAAAATCATTCTCTTTCTTAGAGAGGTTTGGCCACTAGATGGCGGGCCAATCAGAGCTCTCACAGTAAAGTATGAGAGACGCACTTCCTTACATATATTTTCCTTGGGCCTGTGGGTGTTTCTCATTCTCAGAGAAAGCAGAGTTGCCAACTTAGCGACTATGTAGCTAGAGCTAGAGCTTTTGGTTTTTTTCTAGCGACATTTTAGAGCGATTTGCGACTTGTCGAAAAATCTAGAGATATCCACAGAAATCTAGCGACTTTCTGGATACTTTTGGAGTTTTTGGACTGTCCATGAATACTTAATTTTCCTAATTTCGAGCCATAATATATAGCAACGGGGTTACAGGGACAATAAATAATAAGAAAAGTTTAATACATTTGAGCGGGTCGTGGTACAGGAGGGACACGTCTATTTCCTGATCACTTGATGTCAGCCCGTCCATGGCTAATGTTGCCGTGTCGTCATTTATTTGTCTATTACCTTCGCCTTTGTAGCACCTGGGTAACTTACCTTTTTGTCAGATATGCAATATGAATTTCATTAATACGCTAAATTTTAAAGAATATTAGCAAAACATCTTATAGAATTAATTCTATCAAGTCTGCGTGGTTCCAAACTTCTCATCCGCGTCCACCATGGGTGACCCATAGACTCCATACAGTTGCCCCGCAGGTCGACACTGTTCACCCGCTGTGCCAAAAACCATCATGGAAAGTTTCCGCTTGTTTGCATGCTGTTTATTAATTTGAACCCTTCATAGTCCCAATAGAAAATGGGTAAGCCACAGTATTCGCAGCGATTCAGGAAGGAATGGCTCAGAGATGACAGATACAAAAATTGGCTTCTGGAGGTGCCAGGAGATAATAAAAAAGGATTTTGTAAATTTTGCAAGTGTACTTTGTCTGCTAAGTTGTGCGACATTGAAAAACACAAAAACACTAAAAAAAACACAAGAAAGCAGAATAGCCGTTTAGTGCAGAAAGACAGACAATTTTACCATTCAAGAAACTTGGGAATAAAATAGCTAGCGACTTTCCATGGAAGATTTAGCGACATTTAGCTACTTTTAGGTACCAGCCTAGCGACATTTGAAAATCCGAGTTGGCAACACTGAGAGAAAGTCCTTGTCACTAGTCAGTAGCCAGTAGAGGGACAGTAGTGAGGGCGTACTTCCTGGTCCCTGCTGTTGTCAGACTAAGAAACGCAATTTTGTTTGTGTTATTTTGTTCTGTGCGGAAATATAATTATGGCAAGACGAACAGATTATTCGTACATAAGTCCATGTATAAAATGGACTTTGTTTTTCTTCAATTTTATCTTTTGGGTGAGTAATAGTGATGAAATCAGTCAGGGGCGTGGGAAGGAAATACATGACAGACTAGACCTTGATAAACTAATCCTGTTTTTGCTAATTCATTTTGCTTTTTGTGTGAAATACGTTTATAAATCATATGTTGAAGAGTTTGTTGTTTACGTGACTAAAATGATGGGTAAATTGTATGAAAACCACAAGCAAGATGTGTACAGTATTGTTTTGGGTGCATTTTAACACATTATTTTATCTGTGATGGTGAAAAGTATTTGATCTTTTCACCAAGTTTTCTTTGCTTTATATATCAGAATTGGTCGTAAATGTTAAAAAATGAAACAAAAAACTTGCTGTTTACCATTGTGTACCTGATGAACTTGAGTGAACGTATATTAAGATTTTATTGAATATATTTTCGTAATTGGGGTTAATATTTAAAATTTGCCAACACCTACTAATTACCCAAATGTAGCCGCAATGACGTCAAATAATGGTTCTACATGAATAAATCGGGTTACCAATCACTTCTCGACTAGTATTTGGTGTCACAAAGTAAAAAAAAATTGGAAAACGTAATTTAATTTGAGTTAATAGATCGAGTGCATGTACCTAACCTAACCTCGACTAGTATTTGGTGTCACAAAGTAAAAAAAAAATTGGAAAACGTAATTTAATTTGAGTTAATAGATCAAGTGCATGTACCTAACCTAATCTAACCTAACCTAACCTAACCTAACACAACACAACTCAGATTAAATTAAGTTTACCAATTTTTTGTGACTTTGTGACACCAAATATTAGTCGAGAAGTGATTAGCAGTCCGATTTATTCATGTAGGACCATTATTTGACTTCATTGCGGCTACATTTGGGTAATTAGTCGGACCGTATGGCAGGTGTTATGCTAGATTAGGTAAGGTTAGTTTCTTAAGTTGAACTTTTGAATAAACACTTTTTAACACATTTGCCATCACTACGACAATGTCCATGATAAAACAGTGAAATTGTGGCTTTTTAAATTTCCTTTTGGTAAATTTGCACTTCCACCTCCCCATCTGTTAGAAAGTTAAAAATACCTGTATATTTTTCTAGTGTATTTGTGTGTGTTTACACCGAATATGACCTTCATTTCTGGCGGAAGTTAGCCGGTTTTTTTTTTTTATTTTTTTTTTTTTTGGTTGGACGTTTTCCGAAAAAAATCATGGCAAAATACACCAAAAAACACTAGAAAAACCCAAACCAAACCTGACCTGACCTGACCTAACCTAACCTAACCTAACCTAACCTAACCTAACCTAACCTAACTTAACTGACTCTCACCATATGATGGAATCACCTATTTCTTACCTTATTGGCCTGGTTCTTGTTCGTCTTTGCATTCTGGGATTCTTACACAACGCCACATATGTTGGTCTTTGCGATATTTACATTCAGTCTTGCTCTTAGTACACTTTGCTGAGGTTGGAAGAACACCATGCGATCGAAAAAATGCTATAGTTTCTACGTTTTTTTTTTCCAAAAACTCGCAATCAGCTCCATATACTTTAAGTGACACCCATCGCAGACTTAACATAAGAACATAAGAAAGTGGGATACTGCAGGAGGCCGACTGGCCCATACAGGGCAGATCCCTTTCACACCCATCCCAGCACTTCCATGTGCCTATCCAACTTCGTCTTGAAGCTCCCTAGCGTCCCCGATCCTACTATAGCACAGCCTGTGCTTGCCTATATCCTTTCTGAATCGGAATTTATCTAATTTAAAGCCATTTGTTCTAGTTATTTCGTTATTACTGAGCTTCAGAACATCTTCCATTTTACCCTTGTTAATCCCACTTACCCACTTGTACACCTCTACCATGGTCGGAACTGAACTTGAATTTCAAAATATAAGAGACCCAAAATAAAACTCGAATTTGATTGGGCCAGGAACACGCACTGTGAAAGGTGAAGTCCACGATAAATGGCGCAAGATTATAGAAAAAATCGAGAACATTATTACATTATTGTTGCAAACGTATAATAACGGAGATAGCGCATGCCAGATATTTCACTATTTTCTTCCATTAATCTTCCGCCATTATCACCTTCCTGACCTCCCACTCGGCGTGTTTCATTCATAAATTATCATGTGCATGCTTTCCCGTATACGTTATGCGGCCAATCAAAAGCGTTTTATTTATTTTTTATTTGTATATTTTTTTGCCACCAATTAAAATGAATTGTGGTTTAATTCATGGTATTTTTTGCCCACTCAGATTCGATTGTGATTTTGGGTCTCATATTTTGAAATTCAAATTCATTTCTGGCCATGGAAGTCTGATGGGTGTCACTTCAATTATATGGAGTTGATTGCACATTTTGGGAAAAAAAATGAACAAGCTACAGCATTTTTTGGATCTCATGGTGTTCTCCCGACATCAGTAAAATGTCTTAAGTGTAATAACGAGTGTAAATATCGTCAAGAACAATATACAGTAGTTGGCATTGTACTAACTCGTTCCTTATTCCCAAAACAAAGAAGAGACGTTGGTATTCGTACATAGTCAATGATTACAAAGGAACCAGAACCAGGCCAATAAGGTAAGAAATAAGTAAATCCATCTTATGGTGAGAGTTAGGTCGGCTTAGTTAGGTCATCCCAAAAAAGGTTCGGTTTATTTATTTTTTATTTTTTTTGCGTATTTTGTATTAGCTTGGCCATAATTTTTGTCGGAAAATGACCCACCCAAAACACCCGGTAACTAAAAACAGGCAATTTCCGACGGAAATCAAGGTCAAAACCAATCAAAATACACAAAAATACATTAGAAAATCATAGTTTTGACTTTCTAACAGAGTTGTGTGCACTAATACAAATTTATCAATACAGTGCGTAATTTTTTCTATAACATTTCTGTGGGAAATTTATATTTTTCGAGTATTCTAACCAATAAAATAGCCTACAATATTAGTTGTTCAAAGTGGACTGCGCTTTGAGGGAGAAGTAAATTGTGGGATAATACTAAAAATAACACCAAACTTTTAAAAACCTTAGCTAATATTTCCTAACTTGTAAAAATATTAAGAATTGCTTTTGAGTTTATGGATCACTCCTCAACTGAACGCCAAAAACAACACCATCACATACTAAACATGAATGGTATTACTGTATTTTACTTGTTGCCACTAAACAAATCTCATGAATTTTATTGTTGTAATTGGTAATTTTGACAATTCTAAGACACTTCGGTAATTATTCGTTTTACCACACCTTCAAATTTTTTCATAAGAGGCTTAATTTCTGGTGTATTTTGATGTGTTTTGTTAAGATCTGACCTTCGTTTCTATGGGAAATGCATTGTTAAAAAAAAAAAAAAGATGGAGGTCACCCTTGATCAAAAACAGCAATTTTCCATAAAAAACGAAGGTGAGATCAGAACAAAATACATCAGAAATCAAACCTCTAGACCCCTAACTTTTACTAAATTAACCTAGCTTAACCTAACCCCTTCGGGGGGCCCTAACCCATGCTGATTCACGGCTCCAGACAGCTCACAGTGGGACAATAAATGGCGGGTGGAGATTTAGTGATCTAATTACTTAGGCTTTCCTCATTTATGCAATTTTTCTGAAAGAAACATGTTTCCAAGAGGCTTCAAGGGTTCAGGAATGTATATACGTACAGTAAGTCCTCGCTTAATGTTGTTTTGGTACTACGTCGCTGAACTTTAGAGACCAAAAATTCATTTAACGTCCCGGTGATCTGATACTACTGTACGTCGTTTTGCGTCGTCACGGACTACTTTCTACGGCGCATCACCCACTCTTGTCTGGCTGCACTACGCTCTCTTGGCTCGGTGCGCTGCCCTCACTCGCAGAACGTCACAGCGTCCCCAAGCGACGCCAAGCCAGTCTCTGTTACGACTTCACATTATTCGTGTGTGCGTAAGTGCTTTTGCTCTAAAACTGTACTCTAACCATTCGAAATGGCTTCCAAGTACCCATCAAGTGTTACTGATGCTAGTGCAGTGAAGAGGCAATGTAAGACCATTACCCTTGCTACGAAAATGGATGTATTAACCCAATTTGAAAAAGGGGAACGTGCTGTGGATATTCCCATGTGCTTGGTCTAACCCCCACAACGGTGCGTATTAACCGGACCAACGCTGACAAGATTAAGGTTAGTGCTGGAAGTGGTTCTTCTCTGAGTGTGACAAAGACAACTCGTACTAGAAGCACTGTGATAGAGAAGGTGGAAAAGATGCTGGCAATGTGGGTGGAGGACCAGAATCAACACAATGCCCCTGTGAGCCTTATGGTTATCCAGCATAAGGCCAGATCCTTGTTTGACGACATGAAGGAAACAGGGGGTGAAGGATAGAAGGAAGAGACCTTTACAGCCAGCCGAGGCTGGTTTCAACGATTTAAGCGTTGGTATAACTTCCAAAACATAAAGATGACTAGTGTAGCTGCCAGTTCAGATACGGTTCCTGCCGAGACATTCCCGCCAGAATTCAAACGGATTATCCAGCAAGGAGGCTACTCAGTGAAGCAAGTCTTCAATGTGGATGAGACTGGTCTGTTTTGGAAGAGGATACCTGAGAGGACCTATATCTCAAAGGAGGAGAAAAGAGCTCCAGGTTTTAAAGCGGCAAAAGACCGCTTGATGCTGCTGCTTGGCATGAACGCTGCCTGTGAATGCTGATTTTTCGTGCTGCCAACCCACCGGCCCTGAAAGGTTGCCTTCCTGTCATCTACAAGGCAAATAAGAAGGCATGGATAATCGGCGCCATATTTATCCAGTGGCTGAACATGTATGCCGTCCCTGCACTGAAGGAATACTGTGAAAGGAGAACCTTAACTTCAAAATTCTTCTGATCCTTGACAATGCTCCAGCTCATCCTCCCAATCTCGTCGACTTGCATGACAGTGTAAAAGTTGTATACCTGCCTCCCAACACAACAGCACTGATGCAGCCTATGGACCAAGTCGTCATCGGCGCATTCAAGGCTTATTATTTACACCTTACAATGGC